GGGGGGATGGTGAATAGGGGGGATGGTGAATGGGGGGGATGGTGATGGGGGAAGAGGGCGGGGCGGGGCATACTAGACGCCGAATTGGAAGGCGCCGTCCGCCATGACGTGGCAGGGGCTGCCGGCCGGAGCAGCCATTGGGGCAGCCGTGCTGCACCACCCGGACCTCCCACTCCCACGCCCACTCCCCCTCCCCCCCTTCTCCCTCCCCTGGCCCCCACTCTCCCCCTCGCGCTCCCCCCGTGCTCCTGGCGGGGCAGCGTCCAGCCCCACAGCGACGAAGGTGGTGACCTCTGCGGGGTGGATGAGCTCCAGTGACAGCTGCCCGCCCCTGGCCACTGCACAGGAGTGGGGGGGAGAGACGAGGATAAGTTGGGAGTAGAGATGGGAGAGACGAGGATAAGTTGGGAGTAGAGATGGGAGAGGGATGGAGAAGGGTGGGGGAAAGGTGAGGACAGTTGTGGCGTGAGGACGTGGAAGGCATGGGATGTGAGGGGAGGAGGGGACCGGGGGAGGAGTGGAGAGCGAGGCGGCAGGAGGTCGAGTGGTTTGGGGGCCAGGAGAGGAACACCAATAAAAGCACCCTCACACCCACTCACCTGCTCACCCACCTCACTACCTCCCCACACGCCCACTCACTGACCCATATCTGCGGCGGGTGTGCAACAGCAGAGGCATCAAAGCGTGTGAGGGACGGCAGGCCACCCGCACGCACGAGCAGATACACAGACGCACGCGGGGCGGATGGGCGCCCTGCCACCCCTGCCGCCCTGCTGCTGCTGCTGTTGCCACTGCCAACACTCTCCCCAGTCGCTCCACTCTCCCCCACTCCCCTTGCCCCTCCCCACCCCTCTCCGCCCCTGCCCCTTGCCTGAGGGGCAGGAGGCGCAGGTGGATGGAGAGCACGCCCCCGCGCGCGCCAAAGGGCGGGGCGAGGGAGAGGAAGGCCCAGGCGGGGCGCGCAGGGGAGGGCGAGGCGGCGAGGGGCACGGGGAACCACGAGCCCACAGGGACGATGGGGTGGCCGAGGCGGGCGGCAGGTAGGCTGCATCGAGACCCGACTCGTATGTCCAGGAGAGCAGGTGCGGCTGGGGTTATGGGAGGGCGGAGGGGGACACGGGCGTGAGGAAAAGGGGGGAAGTGTTGATGGATAGGGGGGGGGGGGGATAGAAGCAGAGGCACGTAAGCTGCATCGAGAGCAGGTGGGGCACGGTCGTGTGGAAAGGGTGACGGGGGGGGGGGGGGGGGGGGGCAGGACGGGAGAGGAGCTTTGAGGGGGTAGTGGAGAAGGGCGGAGCGGAAGACAGGACGGGACGAGAACGGAGGTGGGAGGGAAGAGGGAGGTGGAAGGGAAGAGGGAGGTGGGGGACGGGGCATGAATGATAATGGTGGATGTGCAAGTGGTGGTGAATGTGAAAGGCATGCAAAGTGACTCATCCACCTCCCGTTTCCACCTCCCCTCTTCCACCGCTTCTCCTGCCCTGCCTCTTACCCCACCCCACCTTCCCTCTTCTCCCCTCACCTCATCCCCCACCTCTCGCCCAAGGTTCAAAAATACGGTAAATGTAAATTACGGCTCGTAAATTACGGTCGTAATTTACGGTGGTTTTGGCAAAAATACGGTCGCTTTTTTAATGGACTTCTTTTGCGGCATTTTTTTGTTTTCCAGAAACTTCAAGAATGCTTACACGATGACTAGGATGGCGACAACAAACTACACTACAGAGAGAAACAAGCCTATAATGGACCACTACACGACTACCATGGCTAAGCCTACCTAGTAGTATCTACCTTTAGGCACATCTTCTCCTACTCCCTCCCCACACTACGCGGGGAAAAAAAAAACACACTCTCGTGGATTTGGGGCGCACGAAACTTCTCACAAGCAGGGTTAATGGTGGGAAATGTTGAAATTCGCTAGACCCAAACTCGGTTTCAAAATTTCGGTCGTAATTTACGACCGTATTTTTGAACCAACCTAACTTTGCAAGGTCGAACCGTTTTTTACCGTAATTTACGATCGTAAATTACGATACCGTAATTTACGGTAAAATTTCAAAAATACGGTCGTATTTTGAACCTTGGACCCACCAGGTGTTCCGCCAGGTGACCCACCAGGTGTTCCAGCAGCCGAGGGCCACAAGATGAGGTGAGTGCAATGTAACAGGCCACAAGGCAGGCCGTTTCTCCCCCCCGGTTCTTCCCCCCGTTTCTTCCCCCCGTTTCTTCCCCCCCCGTTTTTCCCCCGTTTCTTCCCCCCGTTTCTCCCCCCGTTTCTTTCCCCCGTTCTTCCCCCCGTTTCTTCCCCCCGTTTTTCCCCCCGTTTCTTTCCCCCCGTTTCTTCCCCCCGTTTCTTCCCCCCGTTTTTCCCCCGTTTCTTCCCCCGTTTTTTTCTTCCCCCGTTTCTTCCCCCCGTTTCTTCCCCCCGTTTCTTCCCCCGTTTTCTTCCCCCCGTTTCTCCCCCCCGTTTCTTCCCCCGTTTCTTCCCCCCGTTCTTCCCCCGTTTTTTTCCCCCCGTCTTTCCCCCCGTTTCTTCCCCCCGTTTCTTCCCCCCGTTCTTCCCCCCGTTTCTTCCCCCCGTTTCTTCCCCCCGTTTCTTCCCCCCGTTTTTCCCCCCGTGCTCCCCCGTTTCTTCCCCCCGTTTCTTCCCCCCGTTTCTTCCCCCCGTTTTTCCCCCCGTTTCTTCCCCCGTTTCTTCCCCCCGTTTCTTCCCCCGTTTCTTCCCCCGTTTCTTCCCCCCGTTTCTTCCCCCCGTTTCTTCCCCCGTTTCTTCCCCCCGTTTCTTCCCCCCGTTTCTTCCCCCCGTTTCTTCCCCCCGTTTCTTCCCCCGTTTCTTCCCCCCGTTTCTTCCCCGTTTCTTCCCCCCGTTTCTTCCCCCCGTTTCTTCCCCCCGTTTCTTCCCCCCGTTTCTTCCCCCGTTTCTTCCCCCCGTTTCTTCCCCCCGTTTCTTCCCCCCGTTTCTTCCCCCCGTTTCTTCCCCCCGTTTCTTCCCCCCGTTTCTTCCCCCCGTTTCTTCCCCCGTTTCTTCCCCCGTTTCTTCCCCCGTTTCTTCCCCCTGTTTCTTCCCCCCGTTGCTTCCACCACCTCCACGCTCCCCTCTCAGCTCACCTCCAGAGGGATGAGCGGCCACTGGCACTGAGGCCCAGTGAGGCGGGGAAAACACGTGGCAGCCTTCCATTGGATGCTCACACACACCTCTCCGCCCCCTTCACCCTCATCCGCAGCAACCCCCTGCTGCCCGTGCGTCCATGACCCCCCCCACAGCGACGCCCACCACCCTCCATTCCCCCGTCTCTACCACCGCTGCCACTACCACCACTGTTACCACTGCCAGCACTGGTACTATCGTTGACACCAATGCTGCTGCTGGTACTGTTGCTAACCGTGCTGCCATTATCGGACCCACTCCTCCCAGTGCGGCTAGCTGGGTGGGAGAGCAGCAGGTGCCAGGAGCCCGGGTCAGCCACGGCCTGCCAGCTGCCCATGTCCATGCGCCCCTCGCTCCACCACACGTCCACCCCCGCCTCCCCCTCTGTTCCCCTCCTCCCCCCTTGTCCGTCCCTGCCAATACTGCTGCTGTTGCTGCCGACTTGCCCCTCGTTCTCTGTTGGCGGCTGTACGGAAAAGGAGGGTCCAGCTGGCGCGCCGCGATTGGACGAGCCGAGGAGAGCCATGCGGCGCAGCTGCACGGAGAGAGAGGCGTTGGCGGCGTGGCGGTGACCAGTGAGCCAGGAGGGGAGGGGCGAGGAGGAGGAAGAAGAAGAAGAGGAGGAGGGTTGGGGGTAAATGGAGACGAGGAGTTTGGGTAAGGGCTGGGGGATGGCGAGGGTGAAGAGGAGCGGGGGGGAGGATGGGCGCACGCACTGGTGCGTTAGAGAGCCCCCGTATAAAGCGTCCATGCCCGGTGCTGTGAATGCGTCGTGATTGGGGAGAGAAGGGTACGCGTGGGAGGAAGGTTGGGAAGGAGGGGAAGTGGGGGAGGGGGAGGCAGAGGAGGAGGGGGATGGGGATGGGGATGGGGCGGGGGCGAAGGAGGAGTCGTTTCCAGACGAAGCATTGCCGTTTTGCGGCGGCACAGGAGGGCGAGGAGGAAGAAACGTGTGGGAGGAGAGCGGGTGGAGGGGCAGCGGCGTGCGCGAGTCGTTGCAGAAGCGGCCGGAGAGCAGAGGCGCGTTGAAGCAGGAGAAGGCGGTGAGGGCGAGGTCGAAGGTGTGTGAGGTGCCCCGCAGCACCATCTTGGACTGCGTGCGCGCCGGCCCCCACTCGCTGAACACCCCCACGTTCCACACGCCTGCTACCGGTTGCTGCAAGCACGTGGGATGGGTGGGGTGAGGGAGATGGGGATGGGAGAGAAGGGACGGATGGGAGGAGCAGGATGAGAAGAATATTGGGTTGGGAGGGATCGTGAAGGTTGAGGAGATGGGCTGTGAAAGGACGGGTGGTAACACAGAAGGCACACAACACAGAGCATCTAAGGCACATCAAATGACACGTGAGAGGGCTCATGAGATGAGATGGCACCACATAGCTCGCATGCATCGAACCACCATTGCCATCGCCCTGCCGCCTACCAGCCTCTCCTCGCCTCACCGCCTCACCTGGTCGGCGGGAAGGCTGAAGACGGCAGTGGAGTGGAACACGGCGCAGTGCGACTTCCCCGCCCTCCCCCTCCCCTCTCCTACCCCCCAACCCCGACCCTCCTTCCCCCTCTGTGCCATTCCCCTTACCACCGCCGCCCCCCCACCCTTCCCCCACCATAGCCGCGATTGCAGCAGCAGCAGATGCGTCTACCATTCCCCCTCCCCCTCCCTTCCCCGCCCCTGCGCCTCCCCCTGCCCCCGGGCCATCCCCCTGCCCCTGCCCGCGCTCCACTGTGACTGCGCCCATGGCCCCACCGAAGGGGGAGAGCGCTCCCCCCGCCGCCTTGGCTGCTGCCTCCAGCGACTCGTCTGCAGCGAGGGGGGAAAGGGGGAGGGGGGGATTGGGGGGGGGGGGGGGGGGACAGGTGGAGCATAGCATAAGTTTGGGGAAGAAAGTGGGAGAGCTGACTTCTGAGTCAAGTTGGGGAGGTGGAGCATAGGGTTGGGGAAAAAGTGGGAGGGATTAAGCATGACAAGTGAGCGCATAAGAGAGAGACCCGGCAGACGGGGTAACCCGGAATGTGACAACGGCTTCTGTGAGGATGACACAAGGGGGTTGGGGAAAGGGGATGGAGTAAGGCACTGGCAGATGGAGTAAGGCACTGGCAGATGGAGTAAGGCACTGGCAGATGGAGTAAGGCACTGGCAGATGGAGTAAGGCACTGGCAGATGGAGTAAGGCACTGGCAGATGGAGTAAGGCACTGGCAGATGGAGTAAGGCACTGGCAGATGGAGTAAGGCACTGGCAGATGGAGTAAGGCACTGGCAGATGGAGTAAGGCACTGGCAGATGGAGTAAGGCACTGGCAGATGGAGTAAGGCACTGGCAGATGGAGTAAGGCACTGGCAGATGGAGTAAGGCACTGGCAGATGGAGTAAGGCACTGGCAGATGGAGTGCGGCACTGGCAGATGGAGTAAGGCACTGGCAGATGGAGTGCGGCACTGGCAGATGGAGTAAGGCACTGGCAGATGGAGTGCGGCACTGGCAGATGGAGTAAGGCACTGGCAGATGGAGTAAGGCACTGGCAGATGGAGTGCGGCACTGGCAGATGGAGTAAGGCACTGGCAGATGGAGTGCGGCACTGGCAGATGGAGTGCGGCACTGGCAGATGGAGTGCGGCACTGGCAGACGGAGTAAGGCACTGGCAGATGGAGTAAGGCACTGGCAGATGGAGTAAGGCACTGGCAGATGGAGTAAGGCACTGGCAGATGGAGTGCGGCACTGGCAGATGGAGTGCGGCACTGGCAGATGGAGTAAGGCACTGGCAGATGGAGTGCGGCACTGGCAGATGGAGTGCGGCACTGGCAGATGGAGTGCGGCACTGGCAGATGGAGTGCGGCACTGGCAGATGGAGTGCGGCACTGGCAGATGGAGTAAGGCACTGGCAGATGGAGTGCGGCACTGGCAGATGGAGTAAGGCACTGGCAGATGGAGTGCGGCACTGGCAGATGGAGTAAGGCACTGGCAGATGGAGTGCGGCACTGGCAGATGGAGTGCGGCACTGGCAGATGGAGTAAGGCACTGGCAGATGGAGTGCGGCACTGGCAGATGGAGTAAGGCACTGGCAGATGGAGTGCGGCACTGGCAGATGGAGTGCAGCACTGGCAGATGGAGTGCGGCACTGGCAGATGGAGTAAGGCACTGGCAGATGGAGTAAGGCACTGGCAGATGGAGTAAGGCACTGGCAGATGGAGTAAGGCACTGGCAGATGGAGTAAGGCACTGGCAGATGGAGTAAGGCACTGGCAGATGGAGTAAGGCACTGGCAGATGGAGTAAGGCACTGGCAGATGGAGTGCGGCACTGGCAGATGGAGTAAGGCACTGGCAGATGGAGTGCGGCACTGGCAGATGGAGTAAGGCACTGGCAGATGGAGTGCGGCACTGGCAGATGGAGTAAGGCACTGGCAGATGGAGTAAGGCACTGGCAGATGGAGTGCGGCACTGGCAGATGGAGTAAGGCACTGGCAGATGGAGTGCGGCACTGGCAGATGGAGTGCGGCACTGGCAGATGGAGTGCGGCACTGGCAGACGGAGTAAGGCACTGGCAGATGGAGTAAGGCACTGGCAGATGGAGTAAGGCACTGGCAGATGGAGTAAGGCACTGGCAGATGGAGTGCGGCACTGGCAGATGGAGTGCGGCACTGGCAGATGGAGTAAGGCACTGGCAGATGGAGTGCGGCACTGGCAGATGGAGTGCGGCACTGGCAGATGGAGTGCGGCACTGGCAGATGGAGTGCGGCACTGGCAGATGGAGTGCGGCACTGGCAGATGGAGTAAGGCACTGGCAGATGGAGTGCGGCACTGGCAGATGGAGTAAGGCACTGGCAGATGGAGTGCGGCACTGGCAGATGGAGTAAGGCACTGGCAGATGGAGTGCGGCACTGGCAGATGGAGTGCGGCACTGGCAGATGGAGTAAGGCACTGGCAGATGGAGTGCGGCACTGGCAGATGGAGTAAGGCACTGGCAGATGGAGTGCGGCACTGGCAGATGGAGTGCAGCACTGGCAGATGGAGTGCGGCACTGGCAGATGGAGTAAGGCACTGGCAGATGGAGTAAGGCACTGGCAGATGGAGTAAGGCACTGGCAGATGGAGTAAGGCACTGGCAGATGGAGTAAGGCACTGGCAGATGGAGTAAGGCACTGGCAGATGGAGTAAGGCACTGGCAGATGGAGTAAGGCACTGGCAGATGGAGTAAGGCACTGGCAGATGGAGACTCGTTTTGCGGAAGCGGGTGAGAGGAAGGAGCGAGGGATGGCGACGGGAGGGAAGAGACAGAGGCAAGAGCAACGGAGGCGGCAATGTGTGGCGCCTGGTGGATCCAGAGAGCGTGTGTGTGCGTGAGGGGAAGCGAGTGCAGCGGCGGCTGTAGCGAGAGGAATCTGTAGCAGCTGGCGAGGGGCAGGCAGCAGCGGTATGCATGCAGAGGGGCGGCACGCACATCGTGGCTCGTGGTCCGATGGCAGAGGCAGCGAGCCCAGCGCGAAGCACACCAGGGGCCCACGCGATGCTGCTGCTGCTGCCCCTGCCTCCGCGCTGCCGCTGCTGCCTGCTTGCTGTGACTCCCCTGGGGCGTCTGTGCTGCTTGCGCCGCCTGCAGGCGCCTCGTCCTGCTGGATCGCGCGGTCGGGGGAGGAGGGGCGGAGAAGGGGAGGAAATGGGGGGAGGAGGGGAGAGGGGTGTATAGAACCGAGATGAGGTGATGGAGGTGGTACGAGAGAGGGTGTGTTGAAGGCGGAAAACGAATCAGTGAAGCGGAATGGGAACATGAGAAGAAGGCTGCCTGGTGCCCCCACCTTACCCCCTGTGCGGCCCCCACCTTACCCCCTGCGCGGCCCCCACCTTACCCCCTGCGCGGCCCCCACCTTACCCCCTGCGCGGCCCCCACCTTACCCCCTGCGCGGCCCCCAGCTTAACCCCTGCGCGGCCCCCAGCTTACTCCCTGCGCGGCCCCCAGCTTCCCCCCTGCGCCGCCCACAGCTTACCCCCTGCGCCGCCCATAGCTTACCCCCTGCGCCGCCCACAGCTTACCCCCTGCGCCGCCCACAGCTTACCCCCTGCGCGGCCCACAGCTTACCCCCTGCGCGCCCCACAGCTTGCGGAACTCGAATCTCACAATCAGCGCGCCCTCCGGCACCTCCGCTGCACCCCGCACCGCGCGAGGCGATTGTGTGTTTGGAGGGGGGAAACGGGGAGGGGGAAATGGGGAGGGGGGATGGGGGAATAGAGGCCTTAGGATGTGGGCAGAGGGACGAAGGGATTGGGCAACAGCGGCACGGAGCATCCATCCAGATCACGAGCCAGTAATGGATGTGCAGAGATCGAGATAGCTTATATGGATTTACATTGAGTCGTAGCGGCGTACCAGGGAAGTACATCCAGTCGTAGGGGCCGACGACGCTGTTGGGGTACGACGCTGTCGCCGACTTCATGAGATTCGGGTACTCGCTCTGAATCGCAGAACGTCGCACGTCGTCGCTAAGAGTCGCGCGGCGACGAGGGGTGCGCCATGGGTCGGACGACGGCAGCGAATGGGGAAGAGAGGAGGGGTGGGGTAGGGAAGGGGATGCGAAGGAAAGGAGGAGCGGGAGAAGGAAGAGGCAGACGTGGCAAGGCAGGGAAGCCATGGACGAACGAGAAATCCAAGGCGAAGTGATGGAAGCTAAGATTCGAGTGCAACGACAAAGGCGAGTTAGTCCACGCGAATTTGGGACTAATAGGCCTTTCGTTCACATTCGCTGCTCGATCGAGGGTGCGCCATTGCTCAGCTGAAATTCCCAGATGTGAGTTAACTACAACTGGCAATATATCAACGTCATATGAAGTCTGCAGTATCGAAACTAGTGCACGCATAAGTTGCGAGACTACAGGCTAATTCGCCCCGAATGTACCCTTCAACCAACTTGGGTGTAGTGGGTGGGAGCTCCGTTGTCGAGGAATTAGCCCATTCGGGCAGGTTATTTATATCTTTTTTAACTTCACATGCACAGGCAACTTGGTATGTCACATGCGTGTATGAGGTTGATTCCCTCTTCTTTGGTGGCCCTGCTGATGATGTTCGAGACGTTTCTATAACTACCAGTAACGATCAGTGGTTTGTTATGTGCTGACCGAAGCCAAGGGTAAAAATGTAATCAATCAGCAAGTACTTCAGCGTGCCGCGTCGCCCTTGGGAAACCCATGCCACACGGCGCACCGAATTTCCCAACCACCGCGACAGGTACGGCAAAGCAGCCTGCTAACCCTCACTTAGTCACATCTCGCTAGAGTACGTTTGATTACTGCTTTTGTATCCTGTATCAACATCTTCGAGATGACGCTGCTAGTGTTCACAACTCCTCCGTCCCATGTCGCGTACAGAATGAAGCATATTCTTCTCACCTCACCAAGTCGCAGGTGCGTTGTGTAACCTGAACCGCGGCGCTTTGTTGACGGAACGGAACACGGAGTTGAAACAGTTACGACCGTCAACACCTGGAAGCGCAGCGGCCACGTCTGCTCCCCAACTACTCTCGGCCTACGCTTGTTCCTCCAATCGGCAGCAGGCCACGGCGACAACATCTTGTGGTGCAGCCCCAGGTGCTGGTGGCCACCTGGACTCCGATGACATCAGCTTGGCATAGCCCGCTCAATCCGTGGCCAGCGGGATTAGTTTGATCGCACGTGGCAGCGGAATGGTCAGCGACGTTGGTTCTTTGTTTCGCTAGCCCCTTGGCAGGGGTAGCAGTGCGACAACAACCATTCATCCGCGTTTGAAGCATCTTTCCCGTCAAGCGTTGCCTCTCAGGCGACCGTTAGTTGGTTGGTTGGTTGGTTGCTCGGATCAGTACTTACCCACTGCACAACCTCACATTCTTCCCAAACTCGTTCCTCGAAATTATCGAAGTTCCTTTGCCCAGTCGCAGTTTCCTTTCGCTCTTCGGCGCCGTAGTTTCCTACTATTGCTCATTTTGTACCCTGTGACTGCGACTGTATCGCCGCGCATCGAGTTTATCGGCCACCAGACAGCAGCACGCCACCATGAAGGCTCTCATTCTCGTCGGCGGCTTCGGCACGCGGTTGCGGCCGCTCACCCTCAGCGTGCCCAAGCCGCTGGTCGACTTCGCGAACAAGCCCATGATCCTCCACCAGATCGAGGCGCTCAAGGCAGCGGGAGTGGACGAGGTCGTTCTCGCCATCAACTACCAACCCGAGGTACGCCGCCGCTCCCTCGCAATCTCCCTCGCTGATCTTCTCGCACCCGCTCAACAAATCAGATCACAAGTGAAATTATCCAAAAACTTCCGTTTGTGCCTTCTAATCGCATCATCCCACTAGATTTTCAACGTTCATCCTCCCGCACTTCCCGCACGACCCCCGCGCGATGCGATGCGCACGTGACGTGGCAGGTGATGATGACGTTTATCAAGGAGTACGAGGCGAAGGTGGGCATCCGCATCGTGTGCTCGCAGGAGAAGGAGCCCATGGGCACGGCGGGCCCGCTCGCGCTCGCCAGACACATCCTCGACGACGGCACAGGCGACCCTTTCTTTGTGCTCAACAGTGACGTCATCAGCGAGTACCCGCTCACCCAGATGCTCGACTTCCATAAGAAGCACGGCGGCGAGTGCACCATCATGGTCACCAAGGTCAGCCTGTCGCCGCTCGCTGCTCGCTGGTCGTTAGTTATGTATGCTACGATGCTTGCGAACGAAACAGTCACATCAGATGTCACAAGTTTCCCGCGATTCGGCCCAATTTTTCGTATAATTTCGGGCGATAGCGTTTGCCTCGCTCCAGATCCCAACGCTCTTCCCAAATCCCTTCTGGCCCTGTTCGTCGCTGCTGTATCACAACCTCACTTTCTCTTACCTCTTCCACTGCAACCTCACCTTCTCTTACCCCTTCCACTGTAACCTCTCCTTCCTCCCCCTCTCCTCTCCCGCCTCTTCTCCTCCCCCAACCCCCCCAATTGCTCCCTTTCCTATCTGGTCACTTGCAGGTGGAGGAGCCATCCAAGTACGGAGTGGTGGTGCTGGACGAGGCCACGTCATGCGTGCAACGGTTTGTGGAGAAGCCCAAGGTGTTCGTGGGCAACAAGATCAACGCGGGCATCTACCTGCTCAACGCGCGCGCGCTGGACCGCATCGAGCTGCGCCCCACGTCCATCGAGAAGGAGGTGTTCCCCAAGATCGCCGCCGAGGGCAAGCTCTTCGCCATGGTGCTGCCGGGCTTCTGGATGGACGTCGGCCAGCCGCGCGACTACAACAGCGGCCTCCGCCTCTACCTCGAGTCGCTGCGCCAGAACCAGTGAGTGCCCGCCAGTGCATGGCCTTAAATTGAGATCGCGGGGGTTCATGGCGGGTGGGTGCACGGCGGGTGGCGCCAGTAGCATATGCGGGATGAATCCGAGTTTTTTGCGCCGTCACCAAACCAAACAGCCAGTATCGATTTCCTGTGCCGTTCGCAAGGCTCTAACCCGACTGACACAGCGCACCCAGAGGCAACGTGGCGTTGTTGCTGCTGTCAGACGGCCTTTTACCCACACACAGCCCATTGCTCCTTGCACCTTGCCGTGCTAGCCCCGCTCTCGTGACCCGAGCTGGACCGAAAGCCACTGATCCGCTTGGCGGACATCTCTACTCGGATGTCTGCCCGCGACAGTGTGCGGCAGACCTAGTGACGGCCCGTGGGGCCAGGCGCGGCGCCATGGGAGCCCCGGGTAGCTGCAGCAGCTCACGCACGTGAAATGAGGGCGCTTTCGAGACGTCTCAAAGAGACCCGCATTTCACGCAGCAGCTCACGCATGGTGCACACTCGGCCCTCAGGCCCTCTCCGCGCATACTACAGGGCGCACTCAGCACTTGATGGCTGGCCGAGAGGACGCTGTCTACCCAGCAGTTGCTTGTCTCTAACACGTGCATCCCTCCTCCCGCACTCCCTCCCTCCTTCCCTGCCCTGCTTCTTCCCTGCCTTGCTTCTTCCCTGTGCTGTGTGTCTCTCGCAGCCCCGAGCAGCTAGCGACGGGCAAGCACATAGTGGGCAACGTCTTGGTCGACCCCACGGCCACCATCGGCGA